AACAAAGAAGAGTCGCTGTGGGTCATGTGCTGGGGGAACGAACGCCCGGGGTGCAAAAACCGCCTCAGGAGGACTGAACGAGGCAGGGAAAAACGAGAGATGGTTTTCTCTGTGCTGATATGCCACAACGAATGGAAGAACAGGTCCGGGGGTGACAAACTGAGATGGTGCATCACAAATCGCCGGACTCACCGCCGTTGAATCCACGTACACCGGAGGGGTCAGCTTTCCCTGGGCAAGGATTGGTGTGTACGCCACCGTAGAGTTAGGCTTCGGATTCCGCGAGCGAAGAATGATGGACTTCCGCTTTTCAACCTCCACGTCCTCAATCATCTTTGCCACAGCAAAAGGATGCGGCAAATAAGGAAATGGAAAAGGCGCTTTTCCATCGATCGCTTCCACGCATTGGCACGCGTCAGCGACATGCACAAACTGCACAAACACCATATTATAGGGTGACGGTCCTCCAAGCAAATACGATTGTGGGTGCAAAGACACGCTCACGACGGGTCCAAAATTAGCTTCACAATACGTTCGCACTGTTTCCAGGGCGATAGTTCCAGGCACATTACGTATGTAAACAATGTTTGTCTCCACATGAAAATTCACACAAGAATCACCAGTACTTCGTTCAGAAAGCCTGACCTGAAGCACGCTTCCGTCCAACACGACACGATTCATTATTTCACAAACTCTGGTCGCAACATAGATGTTCTCAAACATAATAAAGGCAACCCCGCGCGACATGCCTGTCGCGATGTCCAGTAAAAGCTTGACATGAAGAACCTTTCCAGCAGTAGAGAAAAAATTTTTCAACTTCACGCTGTCTACTGAGGGAGGTATGTTTGCCACATACACACTGCAGAAGCCAGCTACCGCGTTGGTACCAATTTCCCTTAACGAGTCCATCTACAATCACTTCAAGTGAGGCGACAAAGCAACCACATCAGGAAGGAAGCAAAAAAGATCGACGAGCAAAAGTTTCGAGTTGAACAAAAGCACCTTTCTCGTCCGGAGACACTAGATAAATATATATATAGTTACTTATTCGTATCATGAAACCAAAAAGAAGCAAAAGAGAGGAAGAAAAAAACCAAAGAATAAAAACAGGCTTCAGATTTGTGTGTGCAAACTATGGCCATTTCAAGGGTGCCTTCAGGTTAAAAGGCAAAAATTCCCAAGGCAGAGGAAAAAAAACTGCAAGGGTTAAAATAACGTGTATCATTTGGAGAGAGAAAAACAAAACGCAATCTCGTTGTGTTTTGATGAATAAAAACAAAATATATATTGACACAGATAAATAGATCTCATTTTATATTCGTGCGTATGCATATATATATATATATATACGAATCTTACTTTTTACCCCCTTAAA